CGCTGGCCCCGGCTGCCACCCCCGCGGCTGCCGCAGGGGGACCGCGCATTGGAGGACCCGACCTCCGGCCAGCTGGGGACATTCGTCCCGGGGCAGTGAGGGGCAGGGCCCGGCCCGCGTCCCCTGCGGCCGACTGACGCTTCCAGGCAGTAATTTCAGAGGATGTGAGGACGTGTCTGGACTCAAAGCCAAGGACTTTCTACCAGTGAGAAAAGCAGAACTTTGGTGTTTTCCCTTTTTCGTTTATTTTTTGTTTGTTTATTTTTTTTCTTTCCACTGAGTGACCTCAGCTATGACAGGGACGGGCAGGTCTCTGAAGGAAAATCATCATCGAGGGACGTGTCGTGCGGGCGGGTGGGCACGACCAGAGCGAGGTGCAGGGAAGAGTGTGGCAGCGTCGCCACGCCGGGGACCTCGGCTCCCGAGTGAGTCCAGGTCGTGGTCGTGAGGTAGTGACGTCGGACCTCCCTGGAAGAGTGGCCGTGTCGCCGTCCGCGCGGTGTCTGCCTGCGTTGACTGGTGTCCCTTTTCTTAGTGAACAGTTCTCCGCCTCTTGAAACATTTGTGCTTTAATGACAGCTGTGAACTTTCTGCCTTATGTATCCGTCTTAGAACAGCTCTGGTGGTCAGCCCCAGCAAAAGTAATCTACAAATTCTTGGAACTGTGTCCCCTGAAATCAGAGCCTGGAGGACAGTGTTTTCTTATTGCAGAGGAGAAGTTTTGTGGACTGCTCAAGAGCCAGTTTTCCAGGATTCTTCGGAGGAACCACAGGAAGGACCTGAAAGGGGACGGGGTGACTTCGAGGGGGAAGGGGGGCTCCGTCCTGAGGGTCACTTGTCGCAGATCCCCTAGGAGCTTTTGAGGAAAAGTTTCTTCCTGCTGTACATCTCGGTTCTGCTGCTAATGTAAGATTTTATGCATTTCATTATCAGGGTCCAACAAGAACACCTGACTTGAGGGAAATTGTGCAGTAAAGGGAGGCTGTGGCTGCGGGACGGGAGCAGACGGGAGGTGAGCACGTGTGCTCACGGCTGAGCCTGCCCTCGGCGGGGACTGGCCCGGTGAGATGGCCTCACACCCAGGCCTGGGCTCTTGTTGTTGGGCTTTTGTTCAAGGAAGATGAAATGGGAGGTTTAGGTCAGTGTTTTTAAAGCTTTGTTTCTTTTTTTAAGCAAATACTGAATATGTATATAAATAGGAGACAGATACACACTGCTTATTTAAATAAATAAAACAATAATAAACAAATGGGCCAGGAGTTGTGCGTTTATTTGGGTGTTGTGAACAAAGAAGAGAGTAGCACCAAGTAGTCACCCATTTTCCTTCCTCAGATCCTAGGATAGAACATGCCCTGGGCACTCTTCCCCTCGGGTTGAATAGCACGTACCAGGGAGTTTGTGGGCATGCTGGTGCATGGTGGTTGTGCGCATGCCGAAGGAGAACGGTTGCATCCTGAGTTGTCACCTGACAAGGATGGTTGGGCTCCAAGTATGGATCCTAGGCTCAGGTGTGTTAAATACTTTTTCTTCCCATCCTGTCTGTGGCCTGGATTATCTTCTAGTCCATCTCCTCCAAGGCTTGTACAAAAATGGGGTGCCTACAGTAGTCCCCCTTATCTGCAGTTTCGCTTTCCCTGGTTTGTTAACTTGCAGTCAGTTGCGGTCCGAAAATGTTACATACAATAAGATATTTGACAGAAAGAGACCAAATCACATAACTTTTATTACAGTATATTCTCATAATTGTTCTATTTTATTGTTATTGTTAATCTCTCACTGTGCCTAATTCATAAATTAAACTTTATCACAGGTATGTTTGTATAGAAAAAAAAACATAGTATATGTAGGGTTTGGTACGATCTGAGGTTTCAGGCATCCATTGGGAGTCTCAGAACGTATTCCCTGTGAATAAGGTGGGACTACTGTATTTCTCACTGGCTCCATTTAAGTCAGTTAAGAAGGGATCTAATTACTGTTGGCTCGACTGCATCATCTTAACAAAATAAATGAGTCTAAAAAATGACACCATTTTATATCAAGAATGCTCATACCATAATAAAGTTACCTATAGGGATGGCCAGTTAGCTCATTTGCGAGAGTGTGGTGCTGACAACACCAAGTCAAGGGTTAAGATCCCCTTACTGGTCATCTTTTTAAAAAAATAAAAAATAAATAAATAAAGTTACCTATTTACTATCTATTCTAAATCAAAACTCAGTATCCAAACTGTGGACATTCAGTATGGTTTACATTTTTGTTAAAGAGGAAAAAAGTCATAACAATATTTTCTCAACACAGGATAGCACTTACCCACTTTTCCTTGTTTTTAAAGAGATCACCTGTATCCTACCCAACTGTATATTGTTAAGGTTAAATGGAAAACCTTATGAATCAAGTTCTTTCTACTTAGTAGGTATCAGGCATTTAGGTAATCATTGAATGATATACAATAAGCAATTTTGATATAAATATTATTAGTTCATCTTCCCTTTTGTAGATTATAATCATTTGGGGATTAATATCATCTGTGATTAAGCATAGGTTCTTGTGAATAGATGTATAGTCAGGACTTCATAGTGCTGTGGACCTTTTTTTTTTTTGATTGAAACAGTTGATTGTATCTGTGGGGTTCAGAGTTGATATCAATATCTGTGTGCCATATGTGATGCTTAAATTAGGATAATTAGTATATTACACTTTATACAGTGTAACATTTCTCTTGGCCCTTTACCAATTCCTACCTTGCCCCCTCCCACTCCTCCTTTCCCACTTCTGGTAACTTCAGTTCTGTTCTCTCCTTTTGGAAGTTCAGCATATCATTCTGATTGTTGTATGTTTCTTTCTCTCTCTCTCTCTTTCTTTTTTATTTTAGCTCCCACTTATGAGTGAGGACATGAGGTATTTCTCTTTCTGTGCCTGACTTATTTCACTTAACAAATTTTCTCTAAGTTCATTCATGTTGCTGCGAATAGCAGGATTTCATTCTTTTTTTATAGCAGAGTAGTAATCCATTGTATAAATATACCACTTTTTCTTTAGTCATCCAACAATGGACATTTAGGTTGGTTCCAACTCTTGCCTACTGTAAATACAGCTGCAGTAAACATGGGAGTGCAGTTATCCCTTTGACATGATAATTTCCCTTCCTTTGGGAATATATCCAACAGCAGGATTGCTGGATCCTATGGCAGTTCTATCTGTAGTTGTTTGAGGAATCTACGTACCATTTTTCATAATGGCTGAACCAATTTACAGTCCCACCAACAGTGTAGGAGTGTTCCCCTTTTTCTTCATCCTTGCCAGTATTTGTTATTCTCAATATTTTTGATTATAGCCAGTCTAACTGGGGTGAGATGATATCTCAATATGGTTTCAATTTGCATTTCCCTGATGCTGAGTGATGTTGAGCATTTTTTCATGTGTCTATGAGCCATTTGTATATCTTCCTTTAAGAAATGTCTCCTCAGCTCATTTGCCCATTTTTTAAGAAGGTTATTTGGTTTTTTACTGCTAAATTGTTTGAGTTCTTTGTATATTCTGGATATTAATCCTTTGTTGGATGCATAGTTTGCAAATATAGTCTCCCACTCTGTAGATTGTCTTTTTGCTGTGTTAATTGTTTCTTTTCCTGTACAGAGCTTTTTAGTTTGATATAATACTATTTCTTTATTTTTCCTTTTGTTCTCTGTGCTTTTGGGGTCTTATTCATAAAGTCTTTGTTCAGTCCTACTTCCTGAAGTGTTTCCCGTATGTTTTCTTTTAGGAGTTTTATAGTTTCAGGTATTATATTTAAGTCTTTAATCCATTTTGAGTTGATTTTGGTATATAGCAAGAGATATGGGTCTAGTTTCATTCTTTAACATATGGGTGTCCAGTTTTCCCAGCACCATTTATTGAAGAGGCAGTCTTTTCCCCAATATATGTTCTTGGTGCCTTCATTGAAGATCAGCTGACTATAAGTATGTGAGTTGATTTCTGGGTTCTCTATTCTGTTCCATCGGTCCATGTGTCTGTTTTCATGCCAGTACTATGCTGTTTTGGTTACTGTAGCTTTGTAGTATAATTTGAAGTCAGGTAATTTTATGCCTCTGGCTTTATTATTTTTGCTCAGTATTTCCTTGGCTATTTGGGGTCTTTTGTTCCATATGAATGTTAGGATTGTTTTTTCTGTTTCTGTGAAGAATGCCATTAGTATTTTGATGGAGATTGCATTGAATCTGTGGATCATTTTGGGTAGTATGGACATTTTCACAATGTTAATACTTCTAATAATCAAAGAGCATGGAATATCTTTTCATCTTTTTGTGTCCTATTTAATTTCTTTCAGCAGAGATTTGTAGTTCTCATTATAGAGATCTTTCACCTCCTTGGTTAAATTCATTCCTAGGTGGTTTTTTGTTTGTTTGTTTTTGTTTTTGTTTTTTATGATGATTGTAAATGGTCTAGCTTTCTTTATTTCTTTTTGCTAGTTTCTTGGAGTATAAAAGTGCTACTAATTTTTGCATGTTAATTTTGTATCCTACAACTGTCCTGAAATTGTGTATTGCATGTTGATTTTGTATCCTGCAACTTCACTGAAAGAGGTTTTTTTTTGTAGATTCTTTAGGTTTTTTTACCTGTAGGATCATGTCATCTGCCAACAGAAATAATTTTACTTCATCTTTTCAAATTTGGATGGCCTTTATTTCTTTCTCTTGCTTGGTTGCTCTGAATAGTACTTCCAATACTATGTTAAATAGGAGTGGTGAGAGTGAACTTCCTCATCTTGTTTCTGTTCTTAAGGGAAAAACTTTCAGCTTTTCCCCATTCAGGATATTGGTGTTGGGTTTGTCATATATGGCTTTTATTGTGTTGAGTTACTTTCCTTCTATAGCTAATTTGCTGAGAGTCTTTATCATTAAGGGTTGTTGAATTTTGTCAAATGCTTTTTCAGCTGTTGAGATAATCATATGGTTTTTGTGCTTTATTTTGTTGATGTGGTGTATCACATTTATTCACTTGCATATGTTAAACCATCCATGCATTCCTGGGATGAATACACTTGATCATAGTGTATAATTTTTTTGATGTGTTGCTGTATTATATTTGCTGATATTTTATTGAGGATTTTTAGTGTCTATGTTCATCAAAGATATTGGCCTATAGTTTTCTTTTTTTGTTGTATCTTTGTCGGATTTTGGTATCAGGGTGATGCTGGCCCCATAGAATGAGTTTGAGAGAATAGCTTCTGTTTCAATTATTTGGAATAGTTTGAAGAGAATTGGTATTAATTCCTCTTGAAAGGTTTGGTAGAATTCAGCAGTAAAGCCATTTGGTCCTGGGCTTTTGTTTGTTGGGAGACTGTTGATTATTGCTTCAATCTCATTGCTTGTTATTGGTCTGTTCAGATTTTCCATTTCTTTTTGGTTCAGTCTTGGTAGTTTGTATATGTCCAGCAATTTATCCTTTTTCTCCAGGTTTTCAAATTTGTTGGCTTATGGTTGTTTATTATAGTCTCTAATGATTCTTTGTATTTCTGTGGTATTGGTTGTAATGTCTCCTTTTTCATTTCTAATTGAGTCTTTTTTTTTTTTTTTTTTTTTTTTTTTTCCCTGGGGGGGGGTTTTTTTTTTTTTTTTTTTTTTTTTACTTAGCCTAGGTGATGGTTTGTCTGTTTTGTTTATTTTCTTGAAAAAACAACTTTTTGTTTCATTGATGTTTTGTATTATTTTTTGGGTCTCTGTTCAATTTAGTTCTACTCTGATCTTAATTATTTCTTTCCATCTACTAACTTTGGGAATGGATTGTTCTTGTTTTTCTAGTTCTTTAAGGTATAGTGTTAGGTTGCTTATTTAAAATCTTTCTATTCTTTTGACGTAAGCATTTATTGCAATGCACTTCCCTCTTAGAAGTGCTTTTCAACATCCCACAGGCTTTTGGTATGAGTGTTTTTTTTTTCTTTAG